AGAGGGCAAATACTTGAATCTGACGAAGGGCGAGGAAATGAGAAGAACACGACTTCTCCAAGGCTGAATTTGATAGAGAGCTAACGAGAGTGCAGAGAGAATAATAGGGCCGAGAAGAATAAGAAGAAGAAGAAATCCAAACTATCCAAACAATCTAAAAAATAAAAATAATAAATAATAAACCATCCAAACCATCCGAAAAATGAAAAAAAATAACAAATGGAGAGGGCAAATACCTGAGTTTGACGAAGGGCGAAGAAATGGGAAGAACACAACTTCCGGAAGGCCCAATTTGACATAGAGCTGACGAGAGTCCAGAGAGAAAAATAAGGCAGAGAATAAGGAGAAAAAGAAGAAATCCAAACCATCTAAAAAATGAAAAAATAAATAAAAATCCATCCAAACCATCCAAAAAATGAAAAAAAAAATAAAAAATGGAGAGGGCAAATACCTAAATCTGACGAAGGGTGAAGAAATGAGAAGAACACGACTTCCCCATGGCCGAATTTGACAGAGAGCTGACGAGAGCCCAGAGAGAATAATAAGGCGGAGAAGAAAAAGAAGAAAAAGAAATCTAAACCATCCAAACCATCCAAAAAATGAAAAAAAAATAAAATAAAAAACCATCCAAACCATCCAAAAAATCCAAACCATCCAAAACATCCAAAAAATCCAAACCATCAAAGCCATCAAAAAAATCCAAACCATCCATACCATCCAAACCAACCAATCCCCAAGGCCGAATTTGACAGAGAGCTGATCCGAGTCCAGAGTGAATAATAGGGCAGAGAAGAAGAAGAAAAACAAACCAAATTCCTTTCTTTCCTTAGTAAACTAAAATTCTGTGCACCAAAAACAACAACAACAACAACTCCAGAAGCGAAAATCCAAACCATCCAAAAAATGAAAAAAAAATAATAATGGAGAGGGCAAATACTTGAATCTAACGAAGGGTGAAGAAATGAGAAGAACACAACTTCCTTAAGGATGAATTTGATAGAGAGCTGACGAGAGTCCAGAGAGATTAATAGGGCGGAAAAGAAAAAGAAGAAGAAGAAGAAGAAGAAGAAGAAGAAGAAATCCAAACTATCCAAACCATGAAAACCATCCAAAAAATAAAAAAAAATAAAAAACCCTCCAAACCATCCAAACAATCCAAAAAATCCAAACCATCCAAGCCATCCAAACCATCCAAAAAATGAAAAAAAAAATGAAAATGGAGAGGGCAAATACCTGAGTATGACGAAGGGTGAAGAAATGAGAAGAACATGACTTCCCTAAGACCGAATTTGACAAAAAGCTTACGAGAGTCCAGAGAAAATAATATGGCAGAGAAGAAGAAGAAGAAGAAGAAGAAGAAGAAGAAGAAGAAGAAGAATTCCAAACCATCCAAACCATCTAAAAAATGAAAAAAATAAAATAAAAAACCATCCGAACCATCCAAAAAATGAAAAAAAATAAAAAATGGAGAGGGTAAATACCTATATCTGACAAAGGGCGAAGAAAATGCAAAAAATCCAAACCGTCCAAACCGTCCAAAAAATGAAAAAATAAATAAATAATGGAGAGGACAAATACCTGAATCTGACGAAGGGTGAAGAAATGAGAAGAACACGACTTCCCTAAGGCCGAATTTGACAGAGAGCTGATGAGATTCCAGAGAGAATAATAAGGTGGAGAAGAAGAAGAAGAAGAAGAAGAAGAATTCCAAACCATCCAAACCATCCAAAAAATGAAAAAAAATAAAAAATAGAAAGGGCAAATACTTGAATCTGATGAAGGGCGAAGAAATGAAATTAACACGACTTCCCCAAGGCCGAATTTGACAGAGAGCTGACGAGGGTCCAGAGAGAATAATAAGGCGGAGAAGAAAAAGAAGAAGAATAAGAAATCCAAACCATCCAAACCATCCAAGGGTCCCAGGGGTCCCGGGGTTCCCGGGGGTGTCCCGGGGGTCTCGAGGGTCCCAAGGGTCCCGAGGGTCCCAGGTGTCCAGGGGGTGTACCAAGGGTCCCGGGGGTGTCCCGGGGGTCCCGGGGGTTCCGGGGGTGTCTTGGGGGTCCCGGGAGTCCATGGGGTCCCGGGGGTCCTAGGGGTCCCGGGCGTGTCCCAGGGATCCCGGGCATGGGCCGGGGGTCCCGGGCATGTCCCAGGGGTCCCGGCGGTCCCGGTGGTGTCCTAGGGGTCCCTGGCGTGCCTCGGGGGTCCAGGGTGTCATGAGGTTCCCAGGGGTCCATAGGGTCCCCGGGGTCGCGGCGGTCCCGGGGGTCCCGAGATTCCCGGGGATTTCCCAGGGATCCAGTGGGTGTCCCGGGGATCTAGTGGCTGTCCTAGGGGTCCCTGGGGTGTCCCGGGGGTTTCCCGCGGGTGTCCCTGGGGTCTCGAGGGTCGTGGGGGTCCCGGGGGTGTCTCATGTGTCCCAGAGGTCTCGTGGGTGTCCCGGGGGTCCCGGGAGTTCCGGGGTTCCCGGGGATCCCGGGGGTGTCCCGGGCATCCGGGGGTGTCCCGGGCGTCCCGGGGGTGTCCCGGGGGTGTCTCGGGGGTCCCGGGGGTCCCAAGT